AAGTAACAAGGCTCAACCAAGATAACTCCAAGCTTATAACATATTTTAACCTACTAGTGGATAAAGACTTACAAGAACTATCCTCAGTGATCAAGAATTCACACAATAACACATAGGGCCGTGGGGTAGATTTCCTCAATATGATGCAAATCTTTACAAAGTATTTGAAATGCCGCTCCTTAAATACCGTTTACCCTGCCCTTTATGGTGTCGCTTCTCTGTATCATAGCACGGTACGGCCCTGATATAACAAAGTCTCCAAAGTTCTCCCGGTGAGTCTAATGCATTCTATCCGATCTCTCTGACTAATTCGAATCACCTGACACTCCAACAACAGATCTATAGTATAAAATTTCGGAACTGATAAATACTTCTAATGACAAACTATCTACTCAAATAAATTCTATAAAAGAAGACTTGGATCTAATTCACGGAAGTATTCATGAAAATAAAATATAGTTCCAAAAAATGGAAGGCTAAGTTGATAACCTAAAACTGCAAATCGACAATTTAAAATCAGAAAAAGAACTCAAGCAGTACAAAATGGATGCTTTGATTAACGAACTTCACTATAACAATATAATATTGTATAATTATCCTATGTCAAAAAATATCTATGAATTAGAAATTCATAAATTTATCAATTCTTCACTAAACCTACATAATGCATCACAAGATGAGATTCTAGATATAACTCAAATAATCAAATCAACCAATCCAGTCATAAGACTATCATTTATTTAATAATAAATAGGATTCGTGACCAGGTTTTTAATGCCTTTATATCAAAGAAACAACAGAATCTATTGGAAATTTGGAAAATATGCAGATATCGCTATACCTCACTAAGGAATCAGGAAAAAGACGGAAACACTTACTTCCAACCTATTATGACATAAGAAAAAAAAACCGTTCAATAAAACTACGAAATGATATTTTACTAATAGGCAGAGATAGAATAACATTCATTATCGATACAGGGAAGTTTGTTTATGTGGTACTTTTTTGCTTTTTCCTATGCCAATGGAAATTGCAAGTTGATACGCAACACATCAAAGTAAATTTCACCAGGAAAAACACATCAAAAACGTGCAACCGGCTTCTGTCATAAACTGGAACAGTCAAGGCTTTAAAAATAAATTTTTATCACTGAATTCCTTTCAATTAAAATATAAACCAGATATAATAGGAATAACCGAAACATGGATAACACTCGAATTGTTTTATAAATCAACTCTTTCCAACGATTACATAACTGAAACAGTACCAGCACGAAAACCACTTGGCCCTGGACGTCCAAGTGGTGGCTTATGTATTTTAATAAAAAACACTTTTGCAAAATACTTCAAATCAAAAAATCCGATAACTACATTCTCCTCCTAATTTCAATGAACAAACCTATACTCGAAAATAAAGACTGTCAACTGATAATTGTAATGGTTGTCTACATTCCTTCCAACTGTTTGGTAAAACTCAACGAAATACTTAAAATAATTGATCTTTGGCAGCACATCACTCCGTATATCCTCCTACTCGGAGATTCTAATTCGCGTATTGCTGAGATGACAGACTCTCATTATAATGGCCCTAACCCACAAATTCAAGACATCCGATGTTCTAAAGATAAGTATGCTAACAAACTAGGAGTAAACTTAATAAAATTAATAAGTAATTATAAATTGTATATTTTAAATGGACGTATCAAGTCCGATTATCCAGCAGAATTTACCTGTATCGAACATAGTAGTAAATCCACTATAGACCTCACTATATGTTTAGTATTTTTGCTAGACTGTTGTTCGGAATTCACTATAACTACACATGATGCATCTAAATTTCTGAAGACACTCCCAAATCAAGCTAGAATAAAACTGCTGCACTTATTCAACTCAATTTATAAAGCAGCTGAATACCCAGATTCTTGGAATTCTGTAATACTCGCAATGATATATAAAAAAAGCGATAAACTCTCCAAGTAATTATAGACCCATAGCCCTATTATCAACCTTGAAAAAATGTTTTACGACAATATTAGCTAAAAAATTTCAACTATGGACTAAAACAATGGACCTTAAAGCTAAATTCCAGTATGCCTTTTTCAAAAATAAGGGAACAGAATCCGCTTTTTTCTTATTATCATCTCTAATACAACTTCACTTAACTAAAAAAACACAGAAAAGTATATGCATCGATTATAGACATTTAGAAAGCTTTCGATTCTGTCTACGTTCCCTCACTGGTGCACAATTTAAAAACTAAAGGAGCAGGTGACCAATTTTCATCTACAATATCAAAATTATTTTTAGTATATAATGTAAAAATAAAAATTAAACAGGGCAAGTCTATCTCTCCTTCACTAATCTTATCCCGTGGTGTACTTCAAGGTGACCCCCTTTCACCTTACTTATTCAACTTTTATTTACTAGAGATTGATCAACTTTTTCAAGATCCCACCGATGGTATCAAACTCGGCAACGGAATCTTTCACTATGTCTTATTTGCAGACGGCCTGGCAATTTTAGTACCTACATAAGCCTCTTTGCAAAGAAAAAGCAACCAATTAAATTCTCATTTCAAATCAATCCATTTAACAATAAATCTCACTAAAGCAAAAGTTCTCATATTCTATAATAACAGCGAAATTTCGATAAAAGAATTTACGATATATCTCGACAAGAATCTTATGCAGATAGTAAACGAAATAAACTTCCTGGGAGTTACCTTTGACTGGAATCATACATTCAAAGCACACATCTCGAGTTTAAATAATAAAGTAAAATTAGCTATCGATAACTTTTTATTTTTTTCCTCTACTTTAAAAACTTCAAATCTATTTATTTATATGAAACTATATAACTCGATAATCAACCCAATCATCTAGTCCAATCTGGGGTCTTGACTACTTAAACAAATTAGAAAATTTTCATATCTACTTCCTCCGTAAATTACTCCATTTGGAGAGGACAGTTCCCGGTTACGCTATACTAATCGCATACGTTCTTTTCCCTTCTTCCTAAAACGAATTATTAAATTTTACTACCGTTTAAAATTAAAAAGTGACAGCTACATTGCCTTTTTTACATCAAGAAATAATCAAATATTGTAAAAAAAACCAACAACAAAGTATTTTGGCAAATCAAGATAAATAATATATTGAACTCATTTGGAGTATCAGACCCATTGTTTAAAGATAATATCCAATACTGGAAATATGGTTATACTTTGTTACTTGAATCTGCGATTGCTCATTCTGTAAATATAGATAGACCAAGCCAGCCTAAACCGTAGTAATTACCATCCCTGGTATCTAAAAATACTAAAAATCCCATCCTTTCAATCTTATATGAATAAACCAATAAATTTCAACGTGAAAAGACTAATAGCATAACTACGACTCAATAAATATTCTTTCTTCATTGGTAACATCTATATTGATCTTTCAGGCAACCAATGCTCGTGGTGTAAAACCGATGACTTCTCGATTCACCATTTACTACCGAATTGTCAAGCACTTGCAAATATATGAGACTCATTTAATATCACGCAAATACTCCAATGTAATTCATTTCACGATTTCAGAAATATCCTGAATAACTTCAACAAAAAAGACCTTTATAATCTATGTACAGTACAACCCCGTGCAACAGAGATAATTTCCGTTTTTGCAAATAATGATTGATTGATTGATTGATTTTTTATTTTTATTTTATCTTAACAATATTAACTTAATTATATATTAAAATAAATTAGATTAATCAAATTAATTTTTATATCTTTTTTTAGTGAGAAAAAATAAGCTTAAGTAAAACCACAATTTAAACATTTCAAACGCGTTAAAAATAGTTTATTGCCGGCGATTTTAATCATGTTTCTAATCGAATAAAATAAAAATAATAATGAAATTTAGTCGTATACATGACAACCTTTATTCAGTTTAAGGATACAAATTTATTATAATGAAAATTGATTATTTGGGTATAAGACCTTGACAAGTTTCTTCGTAATTCTAATAAATGTTCACGGAAATATTGTCAGACACTTTAGTTTCATGCAGGCAATGTTCCAAATTTATATATATTTTTTTATATCTTCGTGCCTATTATTGCCCACGCAGGTAATTAAGTGCTGTTCAACATTCATAACACCATATTCTAGTCCACGCACCGTATTAAGTTCTGTTTAGCATGTTTGTTAGTAATTTCAGATCTTATCATATTTTTCTGAAATTTATTAATAATGTTATAGAGATAAAAATAACTTATTTAAATCATTAAAGGGGACCCTATCCTAAAGCAGCCATTTTAAATCATTAAAGGTATCTCTATATTAAGAGTCCTTATTTAAATCATTAAAGAAAATCTATATTACAACACTTCATTATAAATAATAAAATGTCATTTTTTATTACAGCTAAATTTTAATTTTTTTTTAAATAAGAAGTTAAAACTTCTCAAAAACGAGATATATATATATATATTTTTTTCTAGATATTTGCTTTAATTTCTATTATATCAAGCACAATAATGATGAGCTTAAGTATGAAAAATCACGTAAAAATTCTAAAAAAGTCTTTAATTTTTTCACAATTATTTAATTTTTTTTAATGTTTTTCAGCATATAATAAATGAACTTCATAGATATTTAAGAGAAATTAATGAGCTGAAAAATTGTAAAATTAATATTTTATTTAAAATTTTAAATGAAATTTTATTCTTTACGCTTTAAAACTTTATAATCATTAAACAAAAATTATTTTAAAAAATCAATACAGTATTAAGAAATAAAACTAAATCAGAAGAAATATATTTATAAAATGAAAATGAAACACAAATAAAAACTAAGTGTCTTCTTACACTCTTCACAAACACACGAATACAATTAAAATTTACAAGGATATAAACAAATTTTAATTGTGATTGAAAATTATATATTAGTATTTAATTTAGATTAAAAATAAAATATATTCTACTTGAGTAATTTTTATTATTTTTATCATTCAGTAAACGAAGATTTATCGCCTACACAACGCAATGTCTTTGATTCTAAACAATTATTTAATATGATTAAAGGACAGTCCAATGAAAATAATGAAGTAAGTTTCGATTTTGGTTTAGATAATGTATAAGTCTTAAAGTAAATTATTCATAGCTTTATATTAATAAGAGTTCTATATCAAACATATCGATAAAGTTTAGAATAACTAATGCAAAGATTATACGTAGCCATATTAATAGTCATATTGTTAAGACAAAAAAATTTTTTTGTGAGATAAGTCTTAACAATATGTTATTATTTGAAAATCTACTTTTCTCTTACAATATTTTTTCAATGGAATATAGCTTCTTGTTTTTCTTGCTATTGATCTATTATGCTGTTAAAGTATATAAAATGGCGAAGTTTCTAACAATACGTATAGTTTGATTTATTTTCATAGGTAACTCTACTTATTATTTTTACTACATTAAAATATGCTCTGTATTAAATAATAGTACTGATGATTTATTATACTTCAAAAGAATTATTTTGAAATATGCTAATTTTATATCTCCAACTTAAATTATTTAAAATTTACATTTTTACACTTAATTGATTCGCTATACATGACAGAAATTAATTATGTATTATGAAATGAATACGCGCTTTTAAATGATTTATTCATAAAAAAAAATAATAAATTCTACTGAAAAATATTACAGAAAAATTTGGAATGAATAAAATAATTATTTTATCTTTATTTTTTCTGGCAGAATCAAAGATACAATGCGACCAATTTTCCTCATGGAAGTACACTCGCTACTCATTATTTACCGACCATTTTATTTGTACTATTTTCGATTTTAATTATTGTGTCAGCTCTTTTAAGCGTATATTTTTGGCGCCAAAGAAGACAATGGTTTCTTTTAAATTCGTGCTTTAAGAAAGGTAGAAGAGCGGATGATTATGCAGGGTCATTAGCCAAATGTAGGCAACAGTACTTAACAAATCCAAATTATTATTCGAGTTCGCCAGATGGTTCCTCTTATCAAAATCTTAGGGATATGGAGATACCCCGAGAATCTTTAACATTTTTGGAAGTAATTGGAGAAGGATGTTTTGGAAAGGTACATAAAGGTAAGTAATAATACATTTTTATTTATAAGTTTCAATACTGGTTGGTTGGTTTGATAGATACAGCAACCAACCAATGGCGGATTATGACCCGTGGGTGTCTCTAAACATAGAAGATTGGATACATAATTTTACATGATAAACTAATAACGTTTACTTGTAGCTATAGAATTATTTATAAATTATGATATGTACAGTAATCACAATGATGAATTGTTCGAGACTCGTGGTCCCTAGGTATGTGCCTAGTGCATAATCCTGCATGTGTAAATGTTTCAATCTCTTAAAAAAATTATCAAAAGTAAAATTTATGCAATAATATTACTTATAAATAATATTTTAGATTTAGGTCTATATGTATAAATGTATTGATGTGCAATACTTGGGGGTTCAATCATCTTAACCAAGTATTGATGTGCAATACTTGGTTAGGGGATGATTGAACCCCAACATTTTTAAATCTTTTTTATATATTTTATAATTATGTCCATGAATTCATGAATTCTTTAAAAAATAATCTATGCTAATAATTAAATTTTGCATAAATTTATTAATTCTGAATTTAATTATTTGATTCTTAAATTCTGAATAATATATTGCGACTTCTCTACCGTAGCTATCAATTAAAGTTAAAGAATTATATTTTAAAATAATATTAATTTAATCAAAAATTTTATTTTTAAATAATTAAACTTAATATAATTCATTAATATTACATTTTTCATTAAGATCTTGTGCCAAGTTTTTTTAAAGAATTTTTTACAACATTTTTATAATTAAATCAAAATTGTAACTTTCAAAACGATTATTCTATATTATAAATTCAACAATGAGAGAATTAATGTTGCAAGAATTGTACAGGGATTCACTAAAAGAGAAAAAGATAATTTAAATGAAGTTAATTAATTATTTGAAGAAAGTTATTCTTCTGAAATAAAAATAGCATTCATAATAATCTTATTCAAAAATTCTTAATGATAACTTTTCGTTGAAATAAATATAAATTTAATGAATATATTTTTAAAAATTTAAATTAAAAACTTTATTCGAATATTTCTACAATAATTTTTTATATAATATTCTTTCTATTGATAACCTTATTTTAATGTCTTACAAAAGGAATTATATAATACTATCTATTCTATGAAGAATGAATTATAAATTATTCTTGCAATTTTAAATTAAAAATATATATATTTAAAAATAATATAAAAATTTTTCTTACAAAAATACATGAAGTAATTTAGTAAGTGCTATAGTTAATAAAACAAATGAATTTAGTGTAATCATAAATCAAAATCTGTAACTTTGTAGCAATTTCTCTTGATTTGCATTTGTTTGGGCCACTTGGGACCAACAAACAGAAACTGATTTATTTGATTTATCTCTGATACAATTCTGAAATTTTAAAAAAGTTTTTTTTAATCTAAAATATTTCAAAATAGACGTTATTGATCTATGCATAAAATTGTTATAAGTTACACCATAAATAANGAGTTGTTCTTTGGGAAATTTATACTTTTGGTAAACAACCATATTGTGGACATTCTAATGAAGAGGTAAATTGTTTTAAAATTATCTTTAACTTTGTGTAATTAATATAAAATATATATCATGTATTTTGCATATGATTTATAAATTTTTAAATAACATTAAAAAATAATTAAAATTCTAATATATTGAGAAGAAAAAAAGAACTTTTTAAAGTAGAATTGATTTTTTTTACTTTTCGTTACCGTAAAATACGTAGGCTGTTTTTTTTCCATGCTCCGATGGTCCATAAGAAAAGACAAGTGTAAATAAAATGAATTTATTACTAAAAGTTAGGTACAAACATGGTTACTTTTCGATATAATCACCGTGAAGATTGACGAATTTTGTCATATCTGTGGACGAGCTTTTCCATCCCCTTGTCATAGAATGTTGCCAAAAAACCGCCCACGTACTTGTATAATCAAAAATGCATGAATTGAAAATAAATATTAAGCTTCGTTTGTAGGCCTATATTTTATTTTATGCTTATTTAATGCTTTTAAGCAAAATGTCCTTTTATTTTAAAATATATAATAAATAAATTAAAGTTTTAGATATATATTTTTTTAAAAATCAATAAAATAAATCAAGTTGCAAAGCTTTAAAATGTAATGTATTTTTATTTTTTATTTTAAATGTTCCTTTTTTTAAATAAAATCTTTAAAAAAATTAAAAAATTAATTAACCTCTCAAATACCACACAGATTAATTAAGGATTTTAATATTTAATTTATTTTAAATATTTTAAAAATATTTAAAATAAATTAATA